TCAAAAATTTGCAAGCAACTGTTCAAGGTATGTAATTGGTTTCTATTCACCTGGAGCAACAGAAGGAGGAGAGTCAGGAAGAGGAGAAGGAAATGGAGTATGTGACTTATTGCCTCCATGAACAGTGGCCTGCTCTGCCATGAGACCAGAACTGGATGGTGCCTAGCTGCAATTACTGAACATTTTTTTCAAAGACCCTATAGCCGAGCCTGATCAAAAGGGGGAAATGTAGAACAGAATTTCAAATTTTCATGGACTCTAAGATTTTCTAGAGCTATAGAGACTGAATGAACCCTTGAAACTATTGCCCTAACATCATCTTCAGACCTTAAACCAAAAATATCTCCTGAAGTCTTCTTAAACCCCAGCAGTCAATAGCTTAGTTTAACTGGTAAAGTATGTCTGTTTTGAGCATTGTGTACTTTTAAGATCTACCTGTATGGGATCAGATTGACAGCAGCAACTAGGAAGATTAGATAGGAGCCTTATGGAGCAGTGAGTTTGTTAATTAGGGAGGAACAACTCAGGAAAAAAAGGGTGAGATGGTTTACACAATTTGAAGAAGGTGATCAGTGTCACTGAGTTGTACATGTAGAAGTTGTTCAGTTGGTGTATGTTTTGCTGTGTATATTCTCAACAACAATAAAAAATTATATTAAAAAATAATTATTAAGGATTAAAAGAGGAAAAAAAGACTCTACAGATAAATTATTAGAATTAACAAGAATAATAAGGTTGCAGATATAAAAATAGTATACAGAAATCCATTTCATTCCTGAAATCAGCCATTAAAAGAAAAAATAATTTTTAAAAAGGTACAATTTTGTAACGATATCAGTATATAGTAGCAATAATGTATATGTAAGGCCCCTGGCAGCCACTGCTCAGAAGGAAGGTTGGGCAATCCTACTTCCGTACTGATACTTCCTCGGAAACCCAAGGGGGGGGTCGCTAAGAGTGGGGCACATAACAACAACAACAACAAGGCCCCTGGGGACGGCCTCAGGGCCTCAGACAGTCAGCTGCCACACCCTCAGCTGGAGGTTCAAACCCACCGGCCGCTCCTGCCAGGTAGCCAGGCAGTCTCTTTTGGGAAGCTCTGGTAGCATAGCGGCTAGGGCATTTGACTGCTAACCAGAAGGCTGGTGGTTCAAATCCACCAGCCACTCCTCAGAAGGAAGATGGAGCAATCTACTTCCGTAGTGATACTACCTCGGAAACCCAAGGAGGGATCTCTATGAGTCGGGTCTGACTTAACAGCACATAACAACAACAACGATGTATGTAATCTAGACATAAATAACAAAAGATGTACAAGTTTTTTATGAAAAACATCAGCGATAGTGGAGTCAGCAAAGGCTAGTTTTAAATCCTCTCTTTGCTTCTAACTCCATGACCCTGTAGCCAACCCTTCTATGCCCTACGCTTCTTATTTTCAAAAGAGATAACAATATCTCTTTTGTGGGGAAGGTATTACAATTACCTGTGGTTGATATTTGTCAGGCCCTTAACACATCACTAAGTACTTAATCATTGCTCTTCATACCCAGGAGTCTGTTGTGATGTTGGTTGTACTGATCTCAAGAAAAATTTAAATTATGTTCCTTGTACAGTTTAAGAGCAGAAAATGAGCGGTATATTTTATATTTCTGTAAAAATGATTACCTGTTTTGTTTTGGTACTTCTATGATTAGCGTCTACCCAAAACTTCCCTCAGTGAGGGAATACTTCATTTCTCAGGAATGGTATACATCAGTGGAACAGAGCTACAGAGGACACGTAAGGTTAAACCAGTTTGACAGTATAACCTTAATCTGAATTTGTAGTATCCTAAATTACATGCCATTGCTTTGGTTGTAAGATCTCTGAGTTAACTGTTTGCTCCTGTCTTAAACAAGAACAAGTAACAAGGAGTCTCTGAAAGAAGCACACTTAAAATACAAAACTATTTTATAACTTTTAAAACTGTAACTTTTTCTATTTCTTTGTAGTATTTTTTTAAGTAAATGTGCAATCATATTAAACATTACTAGCATAGTGCCTAAGGCACTTGACACTAACCAGGAGGCTGGTGGTTCAAACCCACCAGCCACTTCTCAGAAGGAAAGTTGGACAATCTACTTCTGTAGCGATACCACCTTGGAAACCCAAGGAGGGGTCACTATGAGTTGGAGTCAGGTCAGACTCGACACCACATAACAACAGCAACAATAATCATCTACAATGAAAGAAACTTTTTTTTTTTTTTCCCTAGAGAGGACAAGGAGCTCTGGTAGCATAGTGGCTAAAGCACTTGACTGCTAACCAGACGGCTGGCGGTTCAAACCCACCAGCCACTCCTCGGAAGGAAGGTTGGGCAATCCTACTTCCGTAGTGATACTGCCTCGGAAACCCAAGGAGGGGTCGCTATGAGTTGGGGCTGACTCGATGGCACATAACAACAACAACAACAAGAGAGGACAAGCAACTTGCCCATGGTCATACAACAAATCAGTGGCACTAGAACTGGGTCTCAGGAGTCCCTCAACCCACTTGGGCAGGATGTTAGATGAACCAATTGCATTTGGCTGGTCCATGTGCTGCCTGCCCACCCCCACTAGCCTCCCCAGGTCACACCTGCCTAAGCCTCAGCCCTATTTTTTTTTTCCTCCAGAGCGTCTGGCTCCTCTCCATCTAGAAGCAGAGGGAAAACACGCCATGGGAAATAGTGGCAGGTGTGGGGCAGCTTTGCCTCTGTCTGTGGGTTTTTCTTCCTTTTACCTCTCGTGCTTCTCGTGAGAGGGGCTAGAGGTGAAGAAACAGGTGTTCTTGTGGAGCAAGAAGGAGCCACACTTCTGCAAAGTCATGAAGCTGGGAGGTTGGGGGGAGGGCTGGACACAGAGAGTGCTATGACCTGAGGGCCTCTGCGCAGTGGTGGCATACATGGCTGTGTGTCAGTCATCCAAGGTTCAAATCGCCCCTTTTATTTAACTGGCTGGATGAATGTGGCCTTAAATTCCCTCAGTAGATACCCCCAACAAGATGGGGCCAGTGAGCACATGGCCTGGCAGGGTTCAAGGAGATCAGGCATGGGGGGCTTCCCACAAACATGAGAAACACTGCTTTTTATTGTGATAAAAATAAATACTACAAAACATTTGCCATTTCAGTGTTCTTTACAGGTACAATTCAGTGACATTAATTATGTTCATCATGTTGTACAACTATCACCACTATCCTTTCCCAGAAATTTCCATCACCCTTAACAGAAGCTCAGTGTCCCCTTGACAAGGAGTCCTCCTTTCCCCCTCCCTCCCACTCTCTGGTGGTAGTGGTGGTTGTCGAGTAGGACCAACTCATAGCGACCCCTCCTTGGGTTTCCGAGGCGATACCACTATGGAAGTAGATTGCCCAGCCTTCCTTCTCAGGAGTGGCTGATGGGTTTGAACCACCAGCCTTCTGGCTAGCAGTCAAGTGCCTCAGGCACTACGCTACCAGAGCACTAATAAACTTTGGTCTCTATCCATTTGCTTTTCCTAGATATTTCATGTAAGTGGATTCATACAATGTTTGTCCTTTTGTGATTGACTTACTTCATTCAGCATGGTATTTTTGAAGTTGATCCATGCTGCAGCCTGTATCAAGCCTTCATTCTTCTTTTTGGCTGAGAAATATTCCTTTGAGTGTATATAACATATTTTGTTTACCCATTAATCTGATGAAGGACATTAAGGTGGTTTCTGGTAAGGTTATTTCTGTTGTGAATAGTGCTGCAGTGAACATTGGTGTTCAAGTATCTGTTTTTTTCCTGCTTTCAGTTCTGAGTGTATACTTAGGAGTGGAATTGCTTGGTCATTTGATGATTTGGTGTTCAGCTTTTTGAAGATCTGCCAAACTATTTTACATTCCCACCAGCTGTGCCTGAGAGTTTGTTTCTCCACATCCTTGTCAATGCTTGTTATTTTCTTTTCTTCTACACAGCCATCCTGGCGAGAGTGAACTGGTAGCTCCTTGTGGTTTTGATTTGCTTGTCACCAGTGCCTAAGGATGTTGAGCATTTGTGTCATGTACTTGTTAGCTGTTTGCATATCTTCTTTGAAGAAAATGTCTTTTGAAGTCATTTCTCTATTTTTAAATTGGATTGTTTGTCTTCTTGTAGTTGAACTGTAGAAGTTCTTTATATATCCTGCGTATTATCCTCTTGCCCAGTATGTGGTGTCCGAAAATTATCGCCATTCCTGAGGGTTTTTTCTTCACTTTGTTGATAAAATCCTTTGATGAACAAAATTTTTAGTTTTTTCAAGTCCATTTTATCTGTATTATCTTTTTCTTCTTTTTGGTTACAATCTCAGTTTATTTATTTTTATTGTGCTTTGGGTGCAAATTTACAGAGCAGAATTTGTTTTATATGCAACAGTTCATGTATATTTGGGTTTCTCTATGTTATCTTTTGTTCCTTATGCTTTTGGTGTCATATCTGAGAATCTATTGTCAAATACTAAATGCTGAAGCATTAGTCCTATGTTTTCTTCTAAGCATTTTAGTTCTTAGATTTAGTTCTTATGTTTAGGATATTGATCCATTTTGAGTTAAGTTTTATATATGGTGTTAGATTGGGTCCAGCTTCGTTCTTTTGCATGTAGAAATCCAGTGTCACAGTACCATTTATGAAAGAGACTGTTTTTCCCCATTGGATGGACTTAGTACCCTTACCAAAAATCAGCTGACTATAGATATATGCTTTCTGGACTCTCAGTTCTTTTCCATTGATCTGTCATGACTCCAATATCAAACTTTATATCAGCTTTTATAGTATGTTTTGAAATCAGAGGCTGTTCTTTAAAATAATTATTAATTATTTTCAAATATATATATATATTTTTTTTTTCAATATATATAGTTAATCTAGAAGGTGGTTATTGTGAGGGCTTTAAAGTATGCATCTTTTATTCTTTATTCCTTTCTTTCTGCCTTTCCCCTCATAAAAAAATTTTTTTTTTTTTTTCTTTTTGTCTTTTTAGCTGCACGTTATGAAGAGGGAGAATCAGAAGCAGAGAGCATTACTTCTTTTATGGATGTTTCAAATCCTTTTTATCAGCTTTATGACACGGTTAGGAGCTGTCGGAATAACCAGGGGCAGCTAATAGCGGAACCTTTTTTCCATTTGCCTTCAAAGAAAAAATACCCTGATTATTATCAGCAAATTAAAATGCCCATATCCCTACAACAGATCAGGTAAGATATCTTCTACACTACTCACTGTAAATCCACTTCCCTATGGCTGAATGTATATATAGGTATTCCTTCCTAAGATGGATACAGATATTGGAGGTAAAAATGTTTTTTACATAGCGAGGATATATGTGAATATAATTCCTATATGAAAAGTAAGAAATAAATTTGGTTTAATAAAAATAATATTTTTTGTACTACAGTAGAGTCAAGAGGCAAGTAAACAAAAGACACCTTCAGCTAGGCATTAATGTGTCAGATTATGGACTGTAAAAAGTAAAGCAGCTCAGAATTTAACTGTTTATTTGTCTAATAACTGAGCAAAGTACAAAGATCTATCTGCCATTACTATTCATTGATATTTTAATTACAACTGATTATCTGAAGATAAACTGTGTATCTATAGGAAAACCCCCAGAATAAGCATAGTCAGCTCTTAGAGAATTATTAGCTGAAACCATACCTGAAAGATCATTCATCTTGGCTTTCTTTCTCAGCTTAGAAAATGGTAGCGTGATTGTTAAGAATTCAGCCAGGAAGAATTCATAAATCACTACAGTGTCATTAAAAATAGTAGGAAATCAGTAATTAAAGTATGATATTTTATAGCTCCCAAATTGTGGGTTAGATTTTGCTGTGTACCTGTATAGAACCAAGAAGCAGGTAAAAATATCTTAACTGGGCATGATCAGAGTAGGCTGGTATTTACATGACATCTGCATGGCAGATAACTAACTTTCCATAGATAAGAATTAAAATCCTTGTACTTGCTGGATTCCCAGAAATAAGTTTGGCTAACAATGTGTGTTTCACAGTTTTGCCTTTGTAACTTATGCTTGCATCATTTATTGTGCTTTTATGAGGACAACTACAAAACAAAAAAAGGGGAAAAATAGTGTAGTTATAAAACCTCTAAATGGTGAGGAAGTCGAGATAATTGCAGGATAGAATGGACTGTTCTAAACTCAGGGAGAAAACTATAAATCACAGGGTAATCTCAAAAATTATAAACCTTCACATCACAATAAAAAAAAAAGAGGACATGTACAAATATTTAACAAATGCTAAAATGACAGCAATGAAGGAAATGATACCATGATTCATTTTAAAAAATGAGCTTGGCACAGAAAATTATATGGAAAAAAGAAATCAGCAACACCATGAAAAAACACATAACTAAATGACAGCAACAAATTCATACTTGTTAATAATAATAAAATAATAAATAATTACACTGAATGTAAATGGATTTCACGCACCACTCAAGAGATGGATCGTTGCAGTCTGGATATTAAAACATAACCTATCAATATGCTGCCTATAAGAGACACACCTTAGAGACAAAGACAAAAATAGACTAAAAATCAAAGATCAGAAAAAGATGTATCAAGCAAATAGCAACCATAAAAGAGCAGGGGTGGCAATATTAATTTCTGATAAAACTGACTTTTAAGACAAAAACCACCATAAGAGACAAGGAACGACATTATCTAATGATTAAAGGATCAATTGAACAAGAGGACATAACCATAATAAATATCTATGGACCCAATGAAAGAGCCCCAAAATACATAAATCAGACTTTAACAGAATTGAAAAGACAAATAGATGACTGCACAGTCAGAGTTGTTGTTGTTATATGCCGTCGAGTCGGCCCCAACTCATAGTGACCCCTCCTTGGGTTTCCGAGGCAGCATCACTACGGAAGTAGGATTGCCCAACCTTCCTTCCGAGGAGTGTCTGGTGGGTTTGAACCGCCAGCCTTCTGGTTAGCAGTCAAGTGCCTTAGGCACTATGCTACCAGGGTTGTTGTTGTTTTGT